CACTCTATTGAAAATTTCTGTCTCCATATCTCCTGAAGATATTTAAAAACTTTTTTTTATTATTTGACTAGCTTTGAATTAAACGTTCATCGTGGCGGAAGTACCTATTTTATTCTATTTGTATGATATGGTAAGCGCTATATATTTTAAATATGTATGTAAACATGTTAACTTATAGTTTACATTATTTTTATTGTAGTCTAGAAAAAAAAGTTTAGAAGTACTTAAAACGAATAATAGGGTTTAAGTATTCGTCTAGCCAAAAATTACTAACAAATTACTTGTTAAGAAAAATATACATAAAAATATTTTCTGATATTATAAAAATTCGAATCCAATAAATAATATCCAATTCTACTAAACGAAGATGTTCAAAAATTTCTGGTGTGTTTCGCCTCAATGGTTTTGCTAAATCAAATCTAGAATCATTTTGAGAATTGTGTAAATTGATGTCAATAGCGACATAAGTATAATAACACTTATTAAGTCTACTTCGGTACGTCGTCATCAGGCTATCAAGCCCACCGCTGAGCAAAGGCCTCTTTCTTATATGGAGGTTTGAGCATACTACGCTTGCTCAAGACGGGTTGGTGATTTAAAACTTATAATTGTGCAATTATAAGTCCTCACGATGTTTTCTTTCACAGTCTGTAAGTGGTGTCTAAAAACTTTTAGAAATTACAAATGACTTGAAAAAATCACATTGGTAGTTGCCAGGATCGAACCCACGCCCTCATGCACGAGAAGCGGGCCTTTAACAACTAGGCCACCACTGACTGAGTTAGGTACATGGATTCTTTAATATTTCTTACCGTATTCGCATTAAAATAATCGCAACACATACGTTATTCTTAATTAACCAAACCTAAATAGATATTTAAAGTTCAATTTAACATTTCCTGTGTCACAAAAACTAAAGAACTCCGCTCTTGTGGTCTTAAAAACAAACATGCGCAAAACTCAGAACATGTTCAATAATTAAAGCTGTTCCAGTTCCAAAAAAAAAATTCTGTTCTTGTAGTTGTTGACGAATATGTCTGTCTTGGCAATACTATTTGGAAAAATAGATCAATGGGATTTAAAATGTATGTTTTCTAGAAGTCTAGGTATTGTTTAAAAAAATTAATAAAAACCAATCTAACAAAACCTATGTGCAAAACTGAGAGTATTTAAAAACATCAATGACCTACAAAAAAGGAACACAAATAAGTGCCAGTGCCATTGAGAGTCGCGAGATGAAAAGAAAATAATATGAAAACCTTATTAATGGTTTAAAATTACATACGAGACAGTAATTGCAGTCTGTCATCAACTATCAAAATAAAATATTTTGTATTTAATTTGTAGGCAAACAAACTTGTAATTACTTATAAAAGTAGTTAGTAATTAAAATATTTAAAATATAGTATCGCGTTGAACAATAGAAGAATTTTTGAGCCCGTTTCACTGTCGAAGAGTTATTAATTAGTTAATTTTTTTAGTGTTTTCTACGATCCTACGCCTCCGGATCCGCACCCAATGACCAGAATGTCTTTCCAACTAGTGGTCTACCCCTCATGGATTTATAATACGTAACTTTCAATCAAAAAGTGTTAAGCCCCATAGGCTCTCAGTCCTTCGGTCTGGTTGCCCAACGAACTACTACCGATCTCCTGAAATATCATTCAATCATTGACTAAAAATCGGAGCAAAGGCTATTTGCATTGCTCTCTTGGAGAGTTTCAATTATTAAAAAAAAAATATTAGCTAAAACCTATTATTTAAAACAACCTATACTAGCTTCAAAAGTTTTATATTCGTCAACAACTACAACAACAGAATTTCTTTTGGAAACCGGAACGGGCTTTACATTTATTGAACATGATCTGAGTTTTGCCAATGTTCCACAAGTGCGTAGTTCTGCTGAGCCATCCATCTTAAGCCAGAGATCTTAAGGATATCTACCAGTCTTAAAGTAGCAATGCCTCCAAACGGCTTTTTCACAAAAACTAGACCAAGAGTTTTGTAATTTTCTTCGCTCTACTCTACCTCAACATATATATATATATATATATATATATATATATATATATATATATATATATATATATATATATATATATATATATATATATATATATGTGTGTGTGTGTGTGTGTGTGGTTTAAGGTATTGAAGCGTTTTACGAATCCAGCTTGTTATCGCTTGATATTGCCAAATCCACTGTTGAGACAGTTGGCCATAATCCTGCAAAAAAGCTTATAAACATGGCTTAGGTGTGTAGGTCGTCAAAAGAACAACAAAGAACAAAACCAAGACCAGGATAAGAACAAGATACTCTTCAAAGGCTTCCTTTCGAGAATTCGATTGCTGATATCGCCCAGGGACTTTTCACCATCAGGATAATAAAGCGATATACCAGATTTAAGTATCAGTAGACTAACTAGAATATAATTATTTCAATACATAGCAAATTGTGGACTGTTTAAAGTTTCTCCTTTAATGGTCAAATATAACAACCAGTGCGATAGTAACAACTATAAACAATACGAAAAAACTGAAGCACGTGAGCCGACATATAAATATTTGTACATTTGTTAAAAATATAATGACAGATAGAATTTTCAAATCATACATTACATAATTTAAATTATAATTGGTTACCAGCTGTGAACGAATGTTAGTGTACGCTAAAATTTAATCAGGCAAAAACTTAAGATTAACAAAAAATATTCAAAAGTGAAATTATGATAATTGAATGGTTTTCTTGAACGAATTCACAAAATTGTTAAGAAAAAAAGGATTACAAAAATATAAAATCATAAAGGAGTTCTAATTTGTAATTACAGTTATGAACACATATGTATTTACATGATTACATTTAAAAATGTTAATAGAAATACAGTTTTTAAATGGTAGTTATTTCCAATAAATTATTACAATTCACTAATTTTTTCAGATTTATGATTGTAAATATTTCGGTATTAAATTTCAAATAACTCATAACAATTTTATAATTTTTCCTTCATAAGGTAACATGTAAACATAGATTTGAAAATGAATATATTTGTTTAACATCAATTAATATTTTATTTGCCTATTCCATTCACAGTTTTTCAAGTTGATTGTTCTTCTTAGTCATTCTAAAACTATATGCAAGAAGGAAGTAGTCCCAGATAATTCATATGAAGCATAAAGTGAACAATAGTTTTGCATATTTAAAAAAATATATATATTAAAAATCACTTATATAAAGAAGAAGAACAACTCAATACGAACAAAAAATATTAAGGTGTGTTGATTCGTTCTTAGAAAACCTCCGGGATTGGATTATCTTTAAAAAAGGGTTGGACATATAATCACGCCTTCCGCCCACAAGTCTCTTGAGTCTGGTATTCTTGGAAAACCACACATTATGTACTTATAAAAGGTAGACCTCATTTCCAAAATAATACGTATTTTACAGTTTAACTCATTGGAATAAAGTTTAATTTCGCTTAGCAAGAGCTAAGACATACAACCTTTTATATATGTGTTGGTAATGTAACAATATTTCAATGTGGGTGTTCTAGTTCTATGTAAATTTCTCTACAAATGCACTGATTAAATCATAGAGTATACAGCACTGAACGGATTCAGTCGTTGGCTATCATCGTCCCGGTGCGGTTAAGTTTTTCGTATAAGCAAACATAACGATCACCTACTAACTTTTTAATTGTATTGTTAATGCAAAAAATATTCTTCTAATTAGCTAAACAGTGTTATTAATCTTTTAAAAAGATTTAAGACTAAACTTTTTTTTTAATAATATTGTGATTCTGTATTGTGAAAGAGGTATGTAATGCCTGCTCTTGATGTTTTCTTACATGCATATAAAATGATTTTTATTTTTTTAAATTATGATTTAGTCAATTATTTTCAAAAGTCATTAAATACTATTTAATATGTAACAACTGTTCACTATTTTAGACTTTGAAATTTGTTAGCAACTTGAGATTCAAACCATAAAAAATCACAGTGATGTTTAATTAATATACCTTTTTAAATTCGATAAAAACTTCATTTCTATCAAAATTCTTGGTTTCATTTTTTAGAATACATATGTAGGTTAAAGAGACAAATTGTACAATTTTGTTGAAGAAATACAATTTTTATCCCAAAACAAACATTGGAAGAAAGGTTTTTTTTTATTAAATCATCATTATAAGTGAATTTCATATATACTTATTTAATTGAATAAGACTTTGGTTTCGTGAATACATTTTTGAAATTTGTGCTTCAGGTAAATGTTCAAATTTTAATTCGAGGCATTTTTTTACTAAAAGACACAAATTTAATCAGTTGTCTTAAAAAGTTATAAACTAAATCATTTATAAATATGGTTTTATTTATTTCTACATATTTCCGAATTTCTTTCTTAGTGAGGAAACCATTTTTTAGTCTAATTTTTATATTTTTGTCTGTTAATTCTAGTTAAGTTTACTTTTAATTACTTCTATTTTATTTTATAAATAATTTTTTTTTTTTATATTTCTGTTTACTTCAAACAATTTCATTTTATTATAATAGTAAAACTCTGCGGTTGTAATAAAATCACATTATATCATTTCAACTGGACTGTACTATTTATTACCTATATTGATAATTAACTTTACTCAGTTCCGATCATACATATATTTTACACATTATATACAAAATATTCAATAGTACATTAAAAAAATATGTTTTTTATACTCCACATACGAATTAAATGACAGGGTTTCACCAAGGGAGAAACCAAATATATATATTATATTAACTATGTAACTTATTATTAGTACATATAGGTATATATATATATATATATATATATATATATATATATATATATATATATATATATATATATATATATATAATTCTATTTAAACATTGGCATATAAACTTTAACATTAATCGTATAATATGACTTTGAAAATTTTGAAGAATTTCATTTTGTAGTAATGTACTGTATCTTTATTGTAGATTTTGAAGCAAGCTAAATGGAAGATCAAAGGAATGTACAAGAAAACAAGAAACGAAAGCGTAAGTGCAAGCAAAAAGAAAAAGAAAACGGAGAAAAAGAACGAAAAAAAAACATAATAGATAATACAAAAGGGACGGAAAAGGGTCAAATGAAACGAAAACTGCAGACAACTCAAAAGAAAGACGAAACTGTAAAGCACAAAAGAAAAAAAATTGAACCTGAAAAAAGAAATGAGAAGAAGGAGAAAAAATTGGAAAATCAAAATAAAGTAAATGGGAGACAAAATGCAAGAGGAGAAAAAAGAAAAGAAGTAAAAGGGGAAGCGAACGTTAGCGAAGTGAAAATCGAAATAAAGAAGAAAAAAGGAGAAGGAGAAGGAGAGGGAGAGGCAGAGGCAGAGTCAAAGGCAAAGGCCAAAACAGTAAAAAAAGGCAAGAAAAAAAAAGTTACAAAGTTAAAGAAAGATCAAGATCAAAAACCTAAGCGAAAGAAAAAGGAAGAGAAAAATATAACGAAAGAAAATACAAATAAAAACCTATTAAAGGAAAAGAGTAGTATAAAAGGAAAAAGAATCAGAAATGGCGGTGAAAAGAAGAATGAAATAGTAAAACCAGAGATAGACGAACCCAAAAAACAAAATAAATTCAAAAAAAAGACAGAAGAAACAGTGCAAAAACTACAAAAAGTACCAGAAGAACCAAGAGTATCAACAGTACCAAAAGGACCAAGAGTATCAAAAGTAGCAAAACTAACAAAAAAACCGACAGAGCTACAACTTTTGGATGAAAGAGAGGCGATTAAAAAATTGTACTGGAAAAAAGATAAAAATGAGGAACAGGTTCAAAATACAACCGCTCCATATAGTGATTATTTAAACCAAGGATTTGATGATCCTTGGTTTATTATTTCAACTTTATTTGAGCCTCAACCCAGCACAAGTGCTGCGTCGGTACAGTCTTCAAATGTTTCAAAAATATTCAAATCAAAAGATAGGAATACACAGTATACGTATAATTATGAATTCGGTGAGACTAAAAATCTCAGATGACCTTATCACCGCCAATATTCCGCTTCAGTAAGCAAGAAAGGGGCAAATGGAGATACCGAACCGAGCCCAGTTTTAAGCGATGATTTTGAATTTGACTATTTTCTCAACGGTAAATTTAATTATTTTACATATGAACTAAAAAAATTGGGAAACATAAAAATTATAACAGATATAATTTAATATAAATATTATTTTGCAGCCAAGGATTCCGTCCTTATCGATGAAGCAATGCGTTTCATTAATAATATCGTAAGTATTTTTATACATATTGCAACTAATAATTTTTTTTTAAGTAAGCTGGCTAATTTTATATCTTAAAAAATGGATACGACTTTTCTTTTCTTATCCCTCTAAATTATTTCAGACTGAGAAATTTGTACGAATATGTCTACTTATAAAAAAATGCATGTGTTAATGAGACAAAAAAAATTCTACAGATTTTTAATGAAAGATCATACTATTTCCACAAGATCTGATAATTTCCATCACACTTTCAATTAGATTTAAAAAAATATATAACAATCTGCAATGCATGACACTGATTCGACTAATATAATTGAAAATAAGGACTTAAAGAACATTATAGGTATATTACAACAACACGGTTGCTACAACAATCCACATTCCTTATAGGGAGGATTCCGTAAGGGTAACAATGTATTCTGACGTCAGTGTGAATTTTTTAGTCTGTTTTCAAGTTTCAGAAAGAATTAGAATTATTCAATCTAGAACAAAACTTTAAAACTAATTTGGTAGCAAACAAATTTAAAATATTGTCTATAGCCGAAAGAAAAAGTTATGAAAAACGTACTTATTAGAAAACTTCCATGAGCACAATTTGCGTTTTAAAGAAAACTTGACAATAATGACAATGTTTTATGTAATTTTCGATAGATATATGTAAATATGAGCTTTTACACATGGTATATCGTAATCGAAGGCAAAAACAAGTAAAGCAGTAATTTTATTTGATAATTAAGTCATAATATTATTACATTTGGATAAATATAGTACTGAAACGCTATTTCTATACAAACTTAAAAACAAAATATAAATTTATGGGTGCTTGAGGTATTTATTTCGTTGATTTCTTTCAGGATGATAAAGATTTCGAAAAAAATTTAGATTTATTGGAAAACCAGAACATTGATAACTTTAGTTCTCAAGGTGAAATCCCAACCCAAAGACTAATGGAACGTCTCGATGTGTATAAATACACCTCAAATTCGAACATTTGTTAAAAAATGACATTATTCGAATAAATTTTGATTCTACATTTTATATCAGTAAGTAATTTATCACAGTTACTATCTAATAATTGTCTAGATCATAATTATTTCATTAGGTATTATTAAATAAACATAATTCTTGTTTCTACATATTAACAAATAGTCACTTGATTGTAATATTATATGTTTTGATATATTGTGATTGAAAGTGTCAATGTTTTATAGTATGCAAATGTTTTATGGATTTATGAATTTTAAATGTTGTGGTATATTCTTTCTGTTCATGTGTGTTTGCTATGTAATATGTGGAAGTTGGTGTAACCCCTGCTAACTTACAATTTTTAAACCTTGGGTAATTAAATACCCGATGATTGTACAATCCTTGGATGTATCTTAACATTGACATGTACTTTCTGTGATCTGCGTACGTGAGACCTTCAGATGATACGAAATACAATTTTGATGGCTAGAGCTTATTTGTACAAAGTAAAAAAACGAATGCATTTCTTAATGTCAAATATAAATGTTATTTTTTAAATATAACTGTCTACCTACATATATTGTTGTTCTATATATAATTATAAAAATATATTTTCTGTGTGTTGTATTTAATAATACAAGTTAAAATGTTGATAAATTGTATTCATATTATAAGTATGAAGTTGTGAAGGTGTTGAGTAATATGTATTAAAAAAATAAAAAAAATAGTTTTAAATTATTTGAAGAACTTTACAGTATTAATAAATAAGAAATAAAGTTAGAATATTTAGAGACATAAATTAATATTTATAACAAAAATTGTATAAAATCAATAAATAAATAAAAGTTATGTATTTTTTAAAAATATATGTATGATGTGTTAGAAGTTATTATGGGTTTACGATTTTTTTACTTTTGACTTGTCACTTTATGTATTAAAATGTCACGTTGAAAGTTTGTATTGATATATATAATAAAAATCCTTTAAATATTCTAGATGTATGTACTTTACTAAGTGTACATATTTTGAGATGAGATATCAAAAATGTAAATAAATGTGAATTTTGGCAAAAATACTATTTTGATTTTACTTTCACACCGAAATCCTTTAAATAAACTAAAATTTATTTAAATACCAGTAAACCCGGCGAACTCTGTTTCGCCACCAGAAGGCTTTTATATAACATTTCGTTAGGTGATTAGAAGATGAAGAATTTTTTTTTGTTTTATATTTGAAAAGGAAAATTATTATTTCATTTCACAACAGTAATGAATTCATTTCGATTACAAAAATGAAGTGTTATTTAGTTGAACTTCTCTAAGTAAATGAAAGTGAATCCAAAGTAGATACTGAATCGAAGCATTATACGTGTCCGCAAATTATCCGTTTCATTGAAGTGCTCCTTTGTAAACCACATTTTTTGTTTTTTGGTCTAACTTTAACACAAATAAAGCGGATGGTTTCCAAACTCGTGAACACAAATATAACTGCCCATATGAAAAACAATGATTTTCTAAATTTATCCCGCCAATACTAAATGGTTTTAAGAGTTCAACCTACAAACACAATACCGGTTTGTCACATTAAATTAACTGAAAAGAGAACAATGAGTATCTGTCAAACAATGTATCATGCGACGGCACCATCTACTTAAAAATACTTAATATTGATTTGTAGTACATGTTATGTAGGATGGCGCTGTATGTGACAAAAGATTTTCCCCCTTTTCTGTTGAAATTTTTTGTTTTCACGGAGCCCGAAACCTTTCCAACGAATGCAAAACCGTGGAAATTGGTTCTTTCGTTCTGAAGTTATAGCGTCAGGATGGAAAACCGGGCTTATTTTTATATAGTAGAAGATCTCTTACAAATATCTAATTGTCATCATTACGTCATTACATATCTGTCATAATACGTCAATTACATAGCTGTCAATTGTGTTTCGTTATTCCACGTTTTATAGTGACTGACGTTTCATGTAAAGTCCCACGGGAATGCTGTCGAACGCGATAAAAATCCTATTGCAATTTCCTGGTTCTAAACTACCTCTCCGCCAATTTTCAGCTAAATCGGTTCAGCCGTTCTTGAGTTATAAGTGGAGTAACTAACACGACTTTCTTTTATATATATAGAATTATGTTTACTTTAGTCTACTTTAGTCTAATAAATAAAGTAGTTAAATTTACTATTATGATAATATGTAACAATGTTAAAATAAGTACGTTATATTGCACTGAATTAATAAGTTTATTAATTAATTAGTTTTTATATTATTTCTTAGCTTCCCTCTGAAGTTTTCCGTTTTTTAATTTTAATGTCCCCACTTTTATGTACTCGTAATAAATATCTGTTATCCCGACTTTATCTGCGTTAAAAAAAAAGAAAATATTAACAATGAAAAACCTTTTAGGATCAGCATGCGTCAGCCTGAATCCCACTCGCGCGTGATAACATTTAATTTTGGCATCGGGATAAAAAGTAGCCTAAGTTACTCCTTATTACATCAGATACGTGCCAGTAAAAGTGCCGTCAAAATTGGTCAAGCCATTTCAGAGATTAGCTGGAACAAACAGACGGACACATAAAAAAATTAAAAATGTTATTATGGTATATTCACCGTATCCATAGTCATATCCATGTACTAAAAAACGGCTATTTTAATAATACTGACTGATACTGACACAGACTATCAATCAATATCATCACAACTCTACATAATTCTACGGTTCCTATTCATATTTCTCCCATATATAATTAGGTGAGGTCGGAACAGTACGTGCTTCTTCTCCGCTCTAATTTATCTTCCGTTATATCTTGACTTACTAAACCCTTTAGTACCAAGAATTATATCATATTCGTATTCCTTTTTAACATATGAATTAATTACATGACCATACGAAGCCAGTGTTTCATTCTTCAATGAAATTTTTTTCTTTAATGACATTTATCCCCGAATGACACTACTTTTAAGGCTTCTTTGACATATTAATTCCTAATTCTTTCTATTCTTGTTTTTCCTCACAGCTATATCAAAGAATGCATCTCTGCCGCATGCATTTAGCTTTCGTTCACCACTTTTGTAGGCCAACATGTAGATCCTTACAAAACGGTTGGACTCAAGACGTTCTTCCAGATCCTCCCTTTAAGATTACAAGCTAACCCCACAAGCCTATTGTTATTTTATTCATCCAGCATTTATTCTACTCGAAACTTCCAATTTAGTAATCCTGTCAATTTGTTAGAGAGAGCCGAAATACTTAAAGTTAGAGCAGACCAGTGCTGATATGGCATCTAAGGTAATCGGACTAAAACTGGAGAAACCACAAAATTAACAGAAAATTTGTTCTATTTTGCGTCTATATAATCTTTACCCACACGTTCTTCACTTTCTCTTGCCATTTTACTAAAGTGTTTTGAACATCCGGCATCACTTCACCGACAAGAGTAATATGGTAAACAAACAGAATGTACCCAGATGGCAACTTCCGAATTCTTCTGATATCAGAGTATGCATCGCAAGAAGAAACAAGAAATGACTTAGGGCCAATACCTGGTGTTAGCCGATAGTTACATTGAAAACATACATACGTACACGGCATCATTAAGCTACTGTTATTTCTATAACCCACTTCAGAATCTAAAAAGTAAACTGTAGAACGTTTCCGGTAGATCAACAAACTCTAAAGGCAAGTATTTATGTGCAAGCCTCTACTTTGCACAGAGCTTTTAGTAAGTAAACAAATTTACGCTTATCTAAATTTATATCTTTGCTATAGTGCATTTGACAATAAT